TCCCCAAAATGGAAATAATCAGCCACTGATCAGAATGAAATAAACACACACATCTCACAATAATCAGCCACTACTTACATCAACTATTTCCTCACTACAACCCAGAAATATTCTTGCTCCAGCCTATGAGGTAACCAGCAAGCTTGCAAGTTAGGAAGCTCAAGCAGGCACGATATGCTCCGCCAGAATGTTAGAAAAGCCACGCTCATTAGAACATTCTTCTACTGGCAATATCTGCTAGATCGTGCCAAATTTGTTTGATCCACAGATGGGCAAAGATCATCAGACAGACTCCTTTCTCACGTGATCCACAAGGAACACAAAAGCGCCCCAAGTTCCCACACACAACCTTACCTTCTGCATCCTACTTCCACCTACCTGGAGCCCACCTTATTTCCCCCACACTCCCCCCACTCCTCCCACCACCACCATCATCACCCCTCTCTTCCACAACCGCCTCACCCACCCAGACAATCAACCCCCCTCCTCCGCATCCTCAGCCAGAGATCCCTTCTTGAGCTTAGCACCCACAATGGCAGTCAGCCGGCCCTGGTGCGCCGCCATTTCCAGCTCCAGCTCGCTGGGGTTGCGGCTGCCGTCCGCCACGTACGTGCCGGCGCCGTAGGGCGAGCCCCCGTGCACATCGGGGTTGAAGAGCCCCTGGTACGTGTACCCCACCGGCACATACATCATGCCGTGGTGCGCCAGCTGGCTGATCGCCGTCAGCCTGGGGGACACCGGGAGAGGTGGGGCGATGAGAGTATCGGGGCAGGGATTGAGAGGATGTCACGGGAAGGAGGGATAGATGGGGAGGTGGGGAGCAGAGAGGGAGGAGGGAGGGGGGTTGGGTAAGGGGGAAGGTGAGGTGAGCGGGCTGGAAAGAGTTACTAAGTGCTTTCCTTATAAACGGTGCGTGTGTAGCAGCTGGCATAATGCATGTCACGTTGGACGGGGGCTAGAAATGAACTGAGGGGCGAGTCGTTTCTGTGGGTGTGAAGGTAGAGTGAATATGGTCGGCAAGGATATTCCTGTGGTGAATGAATGTGTGAAAAGTGGCCTCACTGTCAGGTGAACAGCCAAAAAAGAGCCACAAGTCAAACGCCCATTCCCAGTACTCGCAGCACAGACCACACCACTATCTTCCCACAATCCCCTCCCCCCCCGACGCGCGCCTGGTTTCCCCCTCTCTCCCCCCTTCCCGTTCCCCATTTCCCCATTCCCCCCCGTTCCCCTTCACCCGCCCCGCACTCACGCAGTGGTCTCCTGTCCGCCGCCCTGCGTGCCCGTGCTGAAAAAGAACCCCGCAGGCTTCCCCGACAGCGCCTGCGAGCGCCACAGGCTGCCCGTCGCGTCGAGGAACTGCTTCATCTGCGCGCACATCATGCCGAAGCGCGTGGGGAAGCCGAAGATGATCGCGTCCGCCTCGAAGAGCGCCTTGGGCGTGATTTCCGGGATGTCCAGCGGCTTGCTCGGCGCGCCCATCTTCGCCAGAACAGCGTCAGAGAGAGTCTCGGGCACCTGGGGGGGATGCGGGGAGCGGGAAAAGGAGCGTGAGCGGGAAAGGGAGGGGAAGGGCGGGGGAAGGAAGAGGGGCGCGGAACGGAGGACTGGGAAATGCACTCGGCGAGGACCAAATGGGGGAAACCGGTGGGCGAGGCGGGCGGGGGAGCATGAGCATGAGCATGAGCATGAGCGCGCGCACCTGGAAGAGGAAGCCTTGCGCGCCGTCGACGCTGTCGACGCCCTCCTTCACCTTGTGCGCCATGGTCAGCACGTGCCCGTACATCGAATAGAAGCTGCACCACACAAGATCCAGGGAGCCAGCGAGCAGGCGGGCAGGCGGGCAGGCGGAGAGGAACGATATTGAGGCAGGCAGAGGTGGCGGTTGAGAGAAAGAGAGTTGGCTTTGTGGGGCATGAAGGAACCCACGCGATTGGCTGATTGTGTTTGGAAATGGGAATGACAAAGGAAAGCGATTGGTGGGTCTATGGTGCGTGGCATAGAATGGAACGGCACGGGACGCACGGCACGACACGGGACGGGACGGCACGACACGGGACGGGACGGCACGATACGGGACGGGACGGGACGGCACGGCGCAGGACAGGACGGCACGGCACGACACGGGACGGGACGGCACGGCACGGCGACTTACACAATGTAGACCTTGACCGTGTCGGATGACGGAGGCACAACTGCAGGGCATTGAGGGCGGGGTGCACATACACACACAGACGCACGCACGATGGGACGAGAGATGAGCGCAGGATGCGGGAGAGAAAGACAGTTTCAGGGACCGCTGTACGGACGGGGTTCCACACGCGGGAAAATGGCGTTGTAATGAGATGCGTAATGGAAGCATGGAGGAAAAAGAAAGTGACGGTCACCACTTGTCATGCGTACGCCTTCGTCTACGTGCACGTCTACGTCTACTTACATCCCCGTCTGTGACCGCTTCCACGTCTGTGACCGCTTCCACGTCTCTCGGACCTGCTATTGTTTTCGCCTCTACAGTGCACGTCAGCTAACTGTGCATTTCCCTTCGCAAGACACTAGAACCCCCAGCCTCAAATAAAGAAGGTATATGTTCGGCGGATATACCGTCAATAAGCGTGCATCCTCCTCCTCCCGTTAAACGACTAACTGAACCGTCTCTTGTTTAGCGCGTACCTTCCGCCGGTGCTGTCGCCTGTCCCTCTGCCGCCTTCTCTTCACCCTTGGCGCCCGCTTCCACCGTCTCCACCGCCGCTGGCGCAACAGCAGCGTCCGCCACCACTGCAGCTTCCGCCACCGGCGCTTCCGCTACTGCTTCAGGCACGCTAGGAGGTTCGGGAATAGGCTCGGCGGGTTCTGCGGCGGGGGCAGCTGCAGCCTCGGGAACAGGCTCGGCATCCGGTCCTGCTGAAGGCCCAGACTCTGGTGCTGGAGTCTCTTCGGGTGCGCTTGTTTCGGCGGCAGCTACAGCACTGGGAGCATCTCCGCTACCAGTCGCGGGGGTTTCGCTGGATGGCGCCGCTGCTTCGGTTGCGGCGGCGGCGGCTGCAGCATCAGCTGGTGCTGCTTCTGCTACAACTGGCTCTGCAGCAGCCGGTGCTGCTTCTACCGGAGCAGCCTCCGCTGCAACGGGGGCAGCAGGAGCGGAACCTTCCGCAGCCGCAGGCTCAGCAGGTTTCGCTGCGGGGGTGGTACTTTCCGGCGGCGCCTCCGCTTCAGTCTTGGGCGCCTCGGTAGTGGCCGCACCGGCAGCCTCAGCCGTGCTCGCTGCTGGCTCTGCTGCTGTTGCAGCTGGTGGTGCTGCTGGCTCGGCTGAAGTGGCAGCAGCAGCAGCAGCAGGTTCTGGTGCAGGAGGTTCAGCAGGTGGGACTGCGTCGTCGGGTTTTTTAGTCTTGCTCTTGCTGGGAAAGCAGCCTCCTCCTTTACCCATTGTCTCGCGCTTCGCTCTACGAGCCGATAACGTAGCAAATGGTTATATTACCCAATACGTGCTTTTGTTTATGGTATGGCAAACGGTCTCTGGATGAGATGCTAAGAGTGCGAGTGGGTTGAAGTTACAAAAAAGGACGGAGGTGCAGACAATACTATGAATCACGGAACGTCGCCTGGTTGTGAAATGTTGGAGAGATAGATAATACCTGGGGCTACTGTTACTCCGTCGGGGCACAGGATGCAATGGGGGGTGTTCGATTAGAATGGGAAGGACAAGAAATCTAGCGATTTTTGGAGAAGAAAATTGTGACGGTATGTTCTGGTGCTGATGTCAGAACAGAGTAAGGACGATGATGAGAGGGAGCAGGAGAAGTGTCACGTTGTGGCTTCCGTGTGGGTTTCTCGTGTCGCGCGAAGCACTGGGAACCCGCAAATTAGGCGGCTTGCGGATGAGTTGAGTGTGTTGTGTGGTAGGATGATGTTGATAAAAGAAAGCACAGGGAGGGCGAGAAAGCTAGAGGGAGAGCGAAATGGAAGAAACGGAAAGTGGGTTCCTGGTGGGGAGGGAAGTGGGGAATGCAGGGGGGAGGGAAACGTTTGCTGTGCTGTGCTGTGCTGCTGCAGTGTGGTGTGGTGGTGGTGGTGACCCCGAGGTGTGGGCTTGGGAGTACCGAGTCGCGGTATTGAAAAGGGAGTTTGGCGGGAGACGTTGTGAGAGGCTGGGCGTGGGCGAAACGAAATACACGTTGCCAAGCCAGGCGCGAAAGTCAATTCTATGGACAATTCGCTATAGAGGAATAGTCGTCCACGGATAAATTCGTTTTATGATGAATCGTTACATTAAAAACATAACCAGCCCAGCAACCAAGCTTCATCACACCACATGATGGAAGTTCGGGATTTATACAGTTAATACCCGTCATCCAAGAAAATAATTATCTGAGGGGATATCAGTGAGTGGCCTAAATTACTGACAGCTCATTCCCGCCAAACTTAAATCATAGTAAAATTTCTCCTCAAATCCTTCAAGACTTTGGCATATTGTACAGAATTGCCTTCTCTCTTTACTGTAGTAATCAAAAGCATGATGGCGAAGGTGGCTGCTTGACAGTCGGATCTGCCCCAGCGAACATGGTGCACTGGCTATTGGCTACACGATATCCTGATAGATCACCTGGTTTTGCCACATCGGCTGTCCTCGTTTCAGTAGGAACGTACCAGCACTGTACAGCAGCACACAAGCGCACATAATTGATATGCAAACCAATCAGGAACACGCATAAAACTGAAATTCCCCGGCCAAGGTAAGGACGGCTGCTTGTTAAGTGAGCTGCCTGACCCACTCACTAAATGCTGCGCTGTATGTCAAGGAAAGCACTGGCAAGCGCCAAATAATCTTCGTCCCACAAGGATGTGCGTCGAACAGCTGGAATCTGAGCGATCCGATCCTGTTCGCCACTCCCTCACATGAATTCCCGTTACGTTTTCAATTTCCTCCTGTCAACCTGTAGTACTCGCCTCCATGGCTCCCTCTGCCTCCACGCTAGCCCCTCCCTTCCCCGCGTCGCGCTTCGATGCGCCACGCATCCTTGGATCTAGCGCGTCCGTGTCTCTCCGCCGTTGCACTCCCCGGTCGGCCCTCGTCCGTCACACTCAGCGCTCACGCGCCGGCTATCAGTTTGTTTTTGGGAATTCACAAAAGTCTTCCGGGTTTCTACTCCGCAGTACCGCCGCCGCGCAGCTCCCGCCGCCGCCTCTTACCCCGCATACCCCTCGCCCTCTCTCCTTACGTTGCTGCTCTTCCGCTCCTTCCTCCGTCAACCATCCCCCACATCTAGCCTCCCCTTCCTCCCCGTCCTTTCCTCCCTCTCACTCGTCTTCCTTCCCCTCCTCTGTCCCCTTGCATTCGCTTCCGAATGCTCTATCCCCATTGTTCCGCCAGCGCTTATCATCCCCACCGCCATCCCCGCCCTCTCCGCAGCTCCACCGCGCATCCGCCCGCTCGTCTCCTCCTCTCCCCACAGCGCTCCCGGCTTCCGCGCATGCCGCGCCCAACAGCGGAGCGCGGGCTGAAGCGCAGAAGGGATTGGGGAAGGTCACGGGGAGCGGAAGAGGCGGATCGGAGCGGAGTTGGGTGCGGGGGAAGGGGTTAGAGGATGACGGGAGCAGCGGTGCCGACAGTCCGGGCAGGCGCGGGGAAAGCGGCGGAAGTGATGGGGCGCATGGGGGACGAAACCTTGCGCAACGTGGGCGCGCCCAGGCTAACGGCGGGTTTGATGGCGCGGGTGATGCTAGCGACGCGGCGGCTAGGCGCGCAATGGAGGGGAACGGGAGTCTAGCGCGTACCACTGGGTTTCGAGAACGTGCAGATAGGACAAACGAGGCGAATGGGGAAACTTTGGGCGCGGGCGGCAGTGGGAGCGCTGTGAGGGCGCGCAAGGAATGGAAAGCGTACGAGGGGGTTGACAGGTCGCAACTGCGGAAGAGGAGGAAGGGGAAGCAAATTGCGGAGGAGGCGGAGCGGGGATGGGGCGTAGGCGAGGAGAGCGTGGATCGTGTGGTGGAGCGCGTAATGCGGCTGAATTTCTGGGATGACGTGGACGGCGTGCTGAACCGGTGGAGCGGGCGCAAGAACCGGAAGCTGTTCCTGCCGTTGATTAAAGCCGTGTCGGCGCACGGGGACCTGCGCATGGCGCTCAAGGTGTTCGGGTGGATGAAGGCGCAGCGCTGCTACCGCGCGCAGCCGCCCTTCTACTCGCACCTCATGCACCTCGCCGCGCGCTCGCGCAAGGTCAACCGCGCGCGGGAGCTGTTCCGCGAGATGCTGGAGTGGCGGTGAGAGGGGGCGGGGGGTTAGGAAGGACGGGGGGCAGGGGAGACGGGGTACGGGGAAGGGTGGAGGGGGAAGGGTGGAGGGGGAATAGCCAGGAGTAAGGGTAAGTGGGGGGCGGCCATGTCGGACGAGCTTCAGGAAACACAAATCGTGTAATATCAGGTGAAACGCGTGAAATGCACATGCTTGCTCCCCAACTTAAGTGCCTCAAGCGCATTCTTTCAATTATAATCAACTGAACATCCATCTCAGACGCAATGTGGGAAGCGAATGTTTCACAGTGATGATGGGTGGCGGGGGCGGCATCCCTTTGAGTCGACTCAAAAGTCACCTCGGGGGCGGCATCCCTTTGAGTCGACTCAAAAGTCACCTCGGGGGCGGCATCCCTTTCATGTCAATTTGTTGCTTGCTACTCCACTTTTGTTGGAAATCGCCCTCTTTTTCTTCATTTTGCATCTACCTACCACCCACCCCACTAACCCAATGCATGCCCTCCTCTTTTGAGGCGCCTCAAAAACGACCTAACCCCATGTATGCCCTCCTCTCCCCCCTCCTTTCCCACTTATCTTTCCCCTCCCTCTCCCCCTCCCCCTCCTCTCCCCCCTCCTTTCCCACTTATCTTTCCCCTCCCTCTCCCCCTCCCCCTCCTCTCCCCCCTCCTTTCCCACTTATCTTTCCCCTCCCTCTCCCCCTCCCCCTCCTCTCCCCCCTCCTTTCCCACTTATCTTTCCCCTCCCTCTCCCCCTTCCCCTCCTCTCCCCCTCCTTTCCCACTTATCTTTCCCCTCCCTCTCCCCCTCCCCCTCCTCTCCCTCCCAACCCTCCTCTCTCTGCTCCTACGCGCCTTCCCACCCCTTCGCGCCCTGCGCGCGCGTGTGCAGCTGCAAGCCGGACGTACATGTGTACATTGCGCTCATGTCCGCGCACGCACGCATGGGCGACTGGCAGGCCGCAGTGCACACCTTCGATTCCATGCTGCGAGACAAGGTGAGCAGTGAGCAGTGACCGCCCCTGGGTCATTTCATTTCTTTCTCCCCCTTATGGCTCGTGCAATGGCAGTGCATGCAAAGGTACTGCGTGAGAAGGCAGTGCATGCAAAGGTACTGCGTGAGAAGGCAGTGCATGCAAAGGTACTGCGTGAGAAGGCAGTGCGTGCAAAGGGAAAGCCCTTCACAGCAGCCAGTTCTCTCACTGGATAATTGATACATGGCCCATGCTTCCATTGACTTTTGAGTCGACTCAAAAGGGCCATGCTTCCATTTCCCTGCTCTTCCCCTCAACATCATCATCCCAACCATGTCCCTGCCGCCTATTTTCCTCCTCTTTGAGGTTGATTTTGAGAATTCTCAAAATCAACCCCTCAACATCACCATCCCAACCATGTCCCTGTCGCCCATTTTCCTCCTCTTCCCCCTCCTCCCTCCCCTCGTACCTTCTGTTCTCCTCTTCCCTCCTGGTCCCCTCCCAATCCATTCCCTGGCCCACCGAGGTTCCCTTCCCCTCCAGTCCCTCCCGTTTCCCCCCATCTGTCCGCCTCTCTCCATCCATTCTCCACCCCTCCAATCCCCTTCCCTCCGTCAACCCCTCCCCTCCTCCCCCCCAGGTGCCCTTAAGTCACGAGGCCCACAACGAGCTGATGAACGCGTGTGGCAGCACGGGGCAGTGGCTTCTCACACGCCTTTTGAGTCGACTCAAAAGTCACCTCAAAAGTCCCTTGATCCCCTCCCCCTCCGCCCGTCCCCTCTCCCTTCTTCCCCCAACCCCCAAGGTTCCCCCGAGTCGAGAAGCCTACAACGCGCTGATGAACGCGTGTGGCAGCACGGGGCAGTGGCAGCAGGCCCTTCTCATGTTCGACCGCATGCAGGCGGACGGAGTGGCCCCCGACATCGTCTCGTACAACACGCTGCTCACCGCGCTCAAGAACGGCCAGCAGTTCCGCCACGCGCTCTCCTTCTTCCTCTTCTCTCGCCTGCTCCTACCTCGTTCCCCCCTTGCTCTTCCCCTCCTCCGCCCCTCACCCTCTCCTCCCTCCATCTTCCTTCCCATTCACCCTCCCTTCCAGGTCCCTCCCAGCAGGGAAGCCTACAACGCGTTGATGAACGCGTGTGGCAGCACGGGGCAGTGGCAGCAGGCCCTTGTCATGTTCGACCGCATGCAGGCGGACGGAGTGGCCCCCGACATCGTCTCGTACAACACGCTGCTCACCGCGCTCAAGAACGGCCAGCAGTTCCGCCACGCACTCTCCCTCTTCTCCCGCCTCCGTGCCGGCAGCTTCCCCGGCGCGCGCCCCGACCAGATCTCGCACAACATCGCCCTCTGCTGCCACGCGCGCCTGGGGGAATTCGACGAGGTGCTGGGGATGTTTGAGCGGATGAAGGGCGGGGTGAGGAGCGGTGCAGTGTGGCGGCCGAATCTGGTGACTTATAACGTTGTGTTGCATGCGCTGGCGGCGAGTGGACGGCACAGGGAGGCGCAAGCGCTGTTTGACAGCATGCTGGCGGAGAGTGGCGGGGAGGGAGGCGGCGCAGGGGGGAAGGCAGGCGCAGGGGGAGGGGGACGCGCAGGGGGAGGGGGAGGGGGAGGACGAGGGGGAGGGGGAGGCGCGGCGACGGGAATCCAGCCGAACCGAGTGACATACAACACGCTGCTGGACGCGTACGCAGCGTGGGGCATGCACAGGGAGGCCCGGGCCGTCTTCGACTCCATGCGCAAGGCAGGCATAGAGCCCGACGTGGTCTCGTACTCTTCCCTCATTAATGCGTACAGCAAGGCGGGGCGCCCGGATGATGGCGCCGCGGTGCTGGCGCTGATGAGACGCCGGTTCTGCTCGCCCAATGTGGTGACGTTCAATGCGCTGATTGACGCGTTTGGGAGGGTGGGGAGGCTGGATGAGGCCCTAGCAGTTAAGGCTGAGATGGAGGCTGCGGGGCTGGGTGTCGCGGGGAGAGTGGGCGGGGGAGTGGGGGCAGGGAACGGGGGTGCAGGAACGGGGAATGGGGGAGTTGGGGTGGGTGGGGGGGTGAAGGGAGGGGTGAATGAGGGAGTGAATGGGGGCGCGGGGATGGGGGTGAGTGGTAACAGCAGTAGCAGCATCGGCGGCAGTGCTTTGAGCAAGAGCATTGCCGACAGCGCCACCAGCAGCACAAACACAGCAGCAGTAGGAATCACCAGCAGCAGCAGCACTACCAGCACCAGCAGCAGCAGCAGTAACAGCCCGAGGGGAGTGTACCGGGCGCACCCAGACTCCCTCCTCGCGCGCCGCGGCACCAAAGTCGCCCCCACCGCCGTCACCTACTCGGCGCTCATCGCCGCGTGTGGCCGCGCCAACCGCCCCGAGCAGGCCGCCCTCCTGGCCGCAGAAGCCGAAGCAGCGGGGGTGCAGCTCAACACGACGACGTACAACGCGCTTCTATGGGTGGCGGCGAGAGCAGGGGATGGCGCGCAGGTGGCGAGGATTGCGGAGAGGATGGTGACGGCGGGGGTGGAGTGGGACGAGATCACTTTCAACGTGCTGGTGGACTATACGGGGAAGGAGGGGCGGGTTGGGGACGCGGAGGGGCTGTTTGAGGAGATGCAAAGAAGGGGTATGAGTGCCACGGTGGAGGCTGCTTCGTCTCTCATGGATGCTTATGCTAAGACGGTGAGTTAGTGAGTGAGTGGGCCGTGCCCTGCGGCCGTGCCAAAGGCACACCGCCTTTGCCAAAGGCACACGCCGACAGGGACTTTGTTGGTTGGCTGCTTCCTCGCTCATGGATGCGTATGCCAAGACGGTGAGTGCTTCGCGCGTGAGGCTGGTTGCACGTGAGGCTGTTGCCCTGCCCTTGCTATATCTGACTGAGTCGCTTTTGAGTGAGACTTCGCATGAGTGCGACGTTGGAGGCTGCTTCCTCGCTCATGGATGCGCATGCCAAGACGGTGAGTGAGTCGCGCCTGCGCCCTCGACCGCGCCCGCGACCTTGCCAAAAGCTTACCACTTTTGTCAAAAGCACTCGCTTGTACGATCTCTCTTTGAGACTGTTTTATCCCTTCCTGCCCACCCTCCTCTCGTTGTCCCCCCTCCTCTTTCCGGACCCTGTCCCTTCCCTGTTCCCCCTCCGCTCCCTGTGCCCGGTGCGAGCAGGGCATGGTAGCAGTGGCGTACCTACCCGCTGTGGAGTGCATGCCATCGCTGGGATGTTTTGTGCGCCCAATTTCATTACCGCTTACCCTCTTCTCTCGTTCGCGTCTCCCTGTTCTCCCTGCCCTATCTGCCCTCCCGGCCCTCCCCGCGCTGTCTGTCTTCCCTGTGCAAGCACAGCTGGAATGTGATGTGCGCCCAACTTCATTACCGCTTACCCTCTTGTCTCAATCGCCTTTCCCTGCCTTCCATGCCCACTCTGCGCCCTCTCTCCTCTCCGTGTGCGAGCAGGGCATGCTAGCAGAGGCGTACGTGCTATTAGAGCGCATGGCAGCGCTGGGGTGCCCGCCCAACGTGGTCACCTTCACATGCCTCATCCAGACTGCTGGCAGGGCAGGTGCGCTCGCATCGCACGGTATGGCATGGCATGGCATGGCATGGCATGGCATGGCAAGGCACGGCATGGCATGGCGGGGCAGGGCAGGACGGGGGGGAGTGGCAGGGAAGGGGTGGCAGGACACAGGGCAGCGCACGGTGTTGCAGTGCTTGAGCGTCTGCTCTTGAGGCACATGCTCTTTCGCGTTCAATCCTGTGTTTTGAGTCGACTCAAAACAGCGTCTGCTCTTGAGGCACATGCTCTTTCGCGTTCAATCCCGTGTTTTGAGTCGACTCAAAACAGCGTCTGCTCTTGAGGCACATGCTCTTTCGCGTTCAATCCCTCCGACATACCTCCTTCCTCCCTCTCCAAACCTTCCCCTCCCTCTCGTCCCCATCTCCTCTTTCTCCCCCTTCTCCCCGTCTCGTCTTCCCACCCATCCCCGTGCCGCCTGCATTGAAATCACTTTTGAGAATTCTCAAAAACGTCTTCCCACCCATCCCCATGCCGCCTGCATTGAAATCACTTTTGAGAATTCTCTAAAACGTCTTCCCACCCATCCCCGTGTCGCCTGCATTGAAATCACTTTTGAGAATTCTCAAAAAAGGTCTTCCCACCCATCCCCGTGCCGCCTGCATTGAAATCACTTTTGAGAATTCTCAAAAACGTCTTCCCACCCATCCCCGTGCCGCCTGCATTGAAATCACTTTTGAGAATTCTCAAAAACGTCTTCCCACCCATCCCCGTGCCGCCTGCATTGAAATCACTTTTGAGAATTCTCAAAAACGTCTTCCCACCCATCCCCGTGCCGCCTGCATTGAAATCACTTTTGAGAATTCTCTAAAACGTCTTCCCACCCATCCCCGTGTCGCCTGCATTGAAATCACTTTTGAGAATTCTCAAAAAAGGTCTTCCCACCCATCCCCGTGCCGCCTGCATTGAAATCACTTTTGAGAATTCTCAAAAACGTCTTCCCACCCATCCCCGTGCCGCCTGCATTGAAATCACTTTTGAGAATTCTCAAAAACGTCTTCCCACCCATCCCCGTGCCGCCTGCATTGAAATCACTTTTGAGAATTCTCAAAAACGTCTTCCCACCCATCCCCGTGCCGCCTGCATTGAAATCACTTTTGAGAATTCTCAAAAACGTCTTCCCACCCATCCCCGTGCCGCCTGCACGCACACGAATTTGAATCGCAGGAGCGCCAGACGACGCGGAGGCGATATTCGAGCGGATGAGAGCAGCGGGGGTGACACCAGATGCAGTGGCGGTGGCGGCGCTGCTGCGTGCACTCAACTTGTGCGAGCGGCACGCTCGGTGCTTGCAGGTTGCTCGCATGATCACTGCTGAGGCACAGCGCACGCAGCAGCAGCGGCAGCAGCAGCAGCAGCAGCAGGAGGGGGAGGAGGAGGAGGAGGAGGCGGGGGAAGGAGGAGGGGGAGGGGGAGTGGCACCGTTGGGCATGGAGGTATTCACAGAAGTGGTGTACAACGAAATGCTCGTTGCTTGCAACAGGTACACCTCCCCATGCCCCTGGCTCTGCCCCTGCCACTGCCGCTGCCTCTGCTGCTGCACACATGCACTTCTGAGTTTACTCTGAAGGCACTGTTGAGCATGGATGGACGTGTTCACAGAAGTGGTGTACAACGAAATGCTCGTTGCTTGCAACAGGTAAACCTGCCCATGCCCCTGGCTCTGCCCCTGCCCCTGCTTCTGCCTCTGCCTCTGCCTCTGCCACTGCCACTGCCTCTGCCCCTGCATCTGCTGCTGCTCGCATGCACTTTTGAGTTGACTTGAAGGCACCGCTGGGCATGGAAGGACGTGTTTGCTGACTGAAGTGGCGTGCAAGGAGATGCTAGTTGCTTTCAACAGGTAACCTGCCGCTGCCCCTGCCGCTGCCCCTGTCACCGCGCTGCTCACTTGCGCTCGCTCGCGCCCTTTTTCTATCGCTTGCTCGTGCTGTTGCTGTTTCACGGAACGGAGCAGAGGCATGGGCGCTATAGCAACAGATGACAGCCGGACAAAGCGTTTCCCCTTTGCCCCCGACTCGCTTCGTGCCACTCCCGCTTGCCACTTGTCACTCTCCCCCCCCTCCACAGACTACGGAACGGAGCAGAGGCATGGGCGCTATCATTATGGCAACAGATGACAGCCGGACAAAGCGTTTCCTCTTTGCTCCCCGACTCGCTTGTTGCCACTCCCGCTTGCCACTCAACCCCCCCATCCACAGATTACAGAACGGAGCAGAGGCATGGGCTTTATACCAACAGATGACAGCAAGACAAAGCGTTTCTCCTTCACCACTTTTCATATGCTTCTTGCCGCTCCCGCTTGCCTCTTCCCCTCCACAGACTACGGAACGGAGCAGAGGCATGGGCGCTATACCAACAGATGGCAGCACGACAAGCGCGAATAGGGGCGAGCGGGGCAGTAGGGGCGGATGGGAAAGGAGAGTCGGCGGGCAGTGGGGCAATAGGGGCCTGGAGCAGCAGCGGTGGTGGTGTGAGCGGTGATGGTAAGGGCATCAGCAGGTCTGTCAGCAGTGGCAGTGGTAACAGCCGCAGCAGCAGCAGCAGCAGCATAACTAGTGGCTGGAGCAGCGATTCGGATGGGTGGTGGGGGGAGAGAATGGAGGAGTGGAGCGGGTTTAGAGGGGTGGAGGAGTGGGGGGAAGGGGGGCGGGATGTTGCTAGTCGGGGCAGCAGCGGTGGGGGTGGAGAGGGAAGTAGCGGTGAGATGAGTAGGAGTGAGAGTAGGGTTGAGGCGGATAGGCTTGAAGTTAGGGCCGCAGGGGAGATGGAAGAGAGGAAGAGGGGAGAAGTGGCAAGATGGAGAGGGGAGGGGAGCAGGTTTGAAAGAGACTCGCGTGGTGATGGGACAGGTGGGGCTACTAGGACAGCTGGGACAGATGAAACTGCTGGTTATGATGTGCTGACCAAGGGAGGAGAAGGAAGAGCAGGGGGAGAAGAAGGAGGAGCAGCGGGAGGAACAGGAGGAGGCGGGGTAGGGGGCGTGGGGGAGGGGGGGACGCGTGTGCGGGTGGTGTCTATGCGCACGTTGAACCTGGTTATTGACACTCTGGCCCGAGCTGGCATGACGGCTGAAGCAATGCAGGTGAGGGGAGGGAGGGGAGTAAGCGCGAGCAGTGGGCGAGAGATTTGTGTGTGCGCGTGGTGTCACTGCGCACGTTGAACCTGGTTACAGACACTCTGGCCCAGGCTGGCTGGCATGACCGCCGTAGCAATGCAGGTGAGGGGTGGGAGTGAATGCGAGAGATTGTCGACAGACGTGAGTGAGTGAGTGAGTGAGTGAGTGAGTGAGTGCGTGAGTGAGTGAATGCGTGAGTGAGTGAGTGAGTGAGTGAGTGCGTGAGTGAGTGAGTGATTGAGTGAGTGATTGAGTGAGTGATTGTGTGAGTGAGTGAGTGAGTGAGTGAGTGAGTGCGTGAGTGAGTGCATGAGTGCGTGAGTGAGTGAGTGAGTGAGTGATTGCGTGAGTGAGTGAGTGAGTGAGTGATTGTGTGAATGAGTGAGTGATTGCGTGAGTGAGTGAGTGAGTGAGTGAGTGAGTGAGTGAGTGATGCTCGTGTGGCAGTGGCCTGGGATGTGCTGCTCGTGCTTGACATGATGCCGCTGCCGCTGTCACCGTCGCTGGTGCCGTTCCTGCTTGTGCTGGTGCCGTTCCTGCTTGTGCTGGTGCCGTTCCTGCTTGTGCTGGTGCCGTTCCTGCTTGTGCTGGTGCCGTTCCTGATTGTGCTGGTGCCGTTCCTGCTTGTGCTGGTGCCGTTCCTGCTTGTGCTGGTGCCGTTCCTGCTTGTGCTGGTGCCGTTCCTGCTTGTGCTGGTGCCGTTCCTGCTTGTGCTGGTGCCGTTCCTGCTTGTGCTGGTGCCGTTCCTGCTTGTGCTGGTGCCGTTCCTGCTTGTGCTGGTGCCGTTCCTGCTTGTGCTGGTGCCGTTCCTGCTTGTGCTGGTGCCGTTCCTGCTTGTGCTGGTGCCATTCCTGCTTGTGCTGGTGCCGTTCCTGCTTGTGCTGGTGCCGTTCCTGCTTGTGCTGGTGCCGTTCCTGCTTGTGCTGGTGCCGTTCCTGCTTGTGCTGGTGCTGTCGCCATCACCATCGCTGGCGCCATCCCTGCTTCCTTGATTCATGCTGAGACGTGCCAGCAGTCGCTCATACCCCCATGCCGCCATGACTCCATGCCGCCATGACCCCATGACCCCATGCCGCCATGCGCAATACCACCATGACCCCATGCCCCATCTCTCCCTCCCTTATCCTATCAGGTGCTGCAGAGCATCCCCACATGGGGTCTGCACCCCTCAGCGCATTCATACAACCTGGTGCTCAAGCCGCTCTCTGCTGCCTGGAAGGCGGGCACGTGCATGCAGGTCAGTGCACGGGGTGCATGCAGGTCAGTGCACGGGGTGCATGCAGGTCAGTGCACGGGGTGCATGCAGGTCAGTGCACGGGGTGCATGCAGGTCAGTGCACGGGGTGCATGCAGGTCAGTGCACGGGGTGCATGCAGGTCAGTGCACGCGGTGCATGCAGGTCAGTGCACGGGGTGCATGCAGGTCAGTGCACGCGGTGCATGCAGGTCAGTGCACGGGGTGCACGCAGGTCAGTGCACACACACATGCACACACACATGCACACACACATGCACACACACATGCACACACACATGCACACACACATGCACACACACGTGCACACACACATGCACACACACATGCACACACACATGCACACACACATGCACACACACATGCACACACACATGCACCATTCGCAGGCCTGACTCAGCCATCCGTGATAAGTCGAGTTTTGAGTCGACTCAAAACTCGACTTATCACATTCGCAGGCCTGACTCAGCCATCCATTCTATCCGCACCACTCTCATTCCCGCTCCCATCCTTTCACCTGTGTCACTTGCCGTCTCACACCCCCCTCCCTCTCCTGTGCTCTTTCCTCTCCCGCCCTCTCTCCTCCCTCTCCCAATCCTTCTCCCTCTCTCCCTCCCTCTCTTCCCCTCACACCCCATGCGCACCAGCTCCTAGACCACATGCTGGCGTGTGGAGTGCCCCCCAACCTGCTCTCCTTCAACCTCGTGCTTGGCTCCCTGCTCTACCACACCACTCAATCCCACGTCGCTCTACCCTCGCTCCACCCCTCCTCACCCTCCTCCTCTCCCACCACCCCCCGCAACCCCTCCGCTCCCTCTACCGCCTCTGCTCAATCCGCCGCCTCCGACCTGCCCGCGCCCTCGCTGCGGGGTGAATCGGCCGCGTCCCAGAGGCCATCAACACACCCTTACGCTCTTTTTTTGAGCTCTGATGTCCGTGAAAGCACCAACAGCACGCCCAGCACGAACAGCACGCGGACTGAAGCTGTTGACTTCCCTCACCCAGTTGAGCCGTCGCTGCAGCAAGCACGGTTGCAGACAGGGGACGGTGGTGAGGAGGGGCGGCTGGGTGGAGGGACGGGTGAGCGGGGGGAGGTTGGGACTGGGGAGGGTGTGCACAGCGAGTGGGATGAGGAAGGGGGTTCGGAAGGGGAAGATGTTTGGGAGGAGGAAGAGTGGGAGGAGGAAAAGCAGGAGGAGGAGGTGGAGGAGGTGCAGGAGGAGAAGGTGAAGAGGAGAGAGGGAGGGTGGAGGAGGGGGGTAGAGGTGTACGCAAAGATGCTGGATGCAGGGTGAGTGAGTGTGACTCAGTGGTGGTGGTGGGTATGTGTGGAGGTGTGGGGGTGTCATGATGAGATGAAAGGATGAGAAAGCAAGGATTTCTGTCATTAGGTAGTGTAGTGTCGAAGAGGTGTATTCAAAGATGCTGGATGCAGGGTGAGAGAGTGTGACTCGGTGGTGGTGGGTATGTGTGGGTATGTGGGGGTGTGGGGGTTTGGTGATGTACCCCTTGCGACCCACCACCACCCATTCCCCCTCACGCTCGCCAACCAAACCCCCCTCTCTCTCCTCCAAACTCGCCATTCCAACGCTCATCGAACACCATGGCGCCGTGCTCTTCTTATTGGGCTGGAATGACTTTTGGAGAATTCACTAATGAAAGTTGACTCGTGAGAAATATTTTCTGAGGAATCACTTTTTACATCTCTCTTTTGAGACTTGTCAAGTAGCCCTCTCATGTACCCCATCTGTGCCCTCCCCCCCTCCAGTGTGCATCTGGATACCATGCCATGACCCGGCGCACTCTCCTCGTGCTGCATTGATCAAAGGAATCTATAATGCGCCTCTCATGTTCGCTGCCCGCCCATGCCCTCCCCCCCCCCCCAGGGTGCATCCAGATGCCATGACCCTCCGCACTCTCCTCGTGCTGCATTAACTTTCGAGCAACCTCTTTTGAGAAAGGGCTGTTGAGAGCTCTCAATTGCCCTCGTTTTCTCTCTTATCCCCGGCCCCATTTCATCACCCCCCCCTCCGTACATCTCAATGCCGTGACTGACCACACGCTCCTCGTGCTGCTCCCTTTTGAGGTGCCTCAAGAAACGCCCTGTCTCTCACTCTCTTGCCGCCCCCCCCTCCCCCTCCCCCCCTCCCACTCCCTCCTCTACACGTGCTATTCCCCACAGCGTGCATCCGGATGCCATGACTTACCGCACGCTCCTCGCGCTGCTCTCCCGCTCCGGCCAGCACCACGGGGCCCTGCTGCTGCAGAACCTCCTGCTGCTTCAGCCCCCCGCTTCTTTCTCTCTTCCCCCCCCACCTGTACCATCCCCCCCCCAGAGTGCATCCGGATGCCATGACTTACCGCACGCTCCTCGCGCTGCTCTCCCGCTCCGGCCAGCACCACCGGGCCCTGCTGCTGCAGAACCTCCTGCTGCGCCCCTCTTCTGGTGCTTCTGCTGCTGCTTCTGATGTCACTGCTGGCACTGCTGCTGCTGCTGCGAGTGCTGCTGCGAGTGCTGCTGCTACTGCCAGAGTACATGCAATGCCAGGGGGACCGGACTTGGAAAGCCGTGATGGGGAGGATGCGACGGGGGCAGCACAAGGTGAGGGGAACGGGGTGAGGGAGACCGGAGGGAACGTCCGCGGGGAAGTCAGGCACCAGGTGCAGCTGCAGCATGCGGGGCAGGAGCAAGAGCAGCACGGGGAGCAGCAGCAGCAGCAACAACAGCGGGAGCAGCAGCCTGGAGCGGGGAGGGGGCTTCCAGAGGCTGTACTGGAGTTGCTCCTGCGTGACTGATGCGCTGAATGATACAGGTATAGGTGTAGCTAACGGGACTGCGACTGGGGCAGCGTGGCGTGGGGGAAAGACGGCTGTGATTTTCCAGCTACCATGTGATTAGCCTTTCCTTGTATGGTGATGTAAGTAGCTCTGGGGTTACAGGTACCGGTAACTACCTACCACTATCAGTATATTACCCCAAGGCACGCTGCTGTTCCTGAGATTACAGTGTCCCAACCCAGCCCAATGTAGCAGTACATATTGTTCCATAGACATATTGCTATGGAAGCAGCACTTGGGTTCTGGAATGGGTATCATAAGTGCCATAATCTTGCTTGTGATACTGATGGGTATCAGTACTAACCATACCACTCAAACCTTGTTGCGGTAGGTACTTTTTCTCTTGTCTCTGCATGTCTCTGGCTGCTTACCACACATGTCCGCACGACCGGCCCAGCCCAAAATAGTCATAAATATAAATACACCACGAGCAGCAACAGAACCCACAAATGCATGGAGTGCGTAACTATGTCAACTATCAGCACCATACGCACTGCCACTACTTTCCCATGTGCTGCTGATACTGCTATTACTGCTCATCATGCCGCCCGTGCTGCAAAACCGGTACTCTCTCTGGTGCAATCAGCGCTGCTGCTAAGGCTGCAGCCTAAGACGCTGCTTGGACGGCCTTATTGGCTCTGATGGGTGCAGAGCGGGAGAGGCGTGACGACGCATGTCACGCATGGCCTTAGTCCAAGAGATTTATTAATCGGGATTCATCGGAGAGCTCGTCATGCTCTGCTGTGTGGCAGCCAAAAGCAGCAGGGATGGTGCAGTGCAGTGCATCATCCTCGTCATCTGTCTTTGCCGTCTCCTCCGCCTCCTCCCCCTCATCACCCCCACCACCACCACTACATATCACCAACGTCACCATCCAAATCACCACCACTGTTCCATCCATCATCATCACTCATCCATCATCATCGGGTCACCACCTCAAAACCACCATCTCCCAGCCACCATCACAGCCATGTCTCTCGTCCCCTTCTCAGCCAATGACCTTCGAGTCTGACTCAAAAGTCACCTCTTAACCACCACCATCCATCACCCAGCAACCGTCATCGACAAACCATGATCATCATCATCATCGTCACCATCATCCGACCATCACGCGCATGTCTCGCTTCCGCTGCTCCGCCAGCGCTTGCCTGTGCATGGACACCATGCGCGGCGTCACCATCCACGCCTTCTCCCCCATGAACTCCTTCACGTGCGCGACGCGCGCGATCACGTTCTTAAACTCCGTGTAGAACAGCGACGCGAACACCAGGTACATCAGCCACCAGTTCCCGTGCTTCCGCACCGTGCGGCTGCCCTTCAGAAACGCGAACAGCAGCTGCACGGGCCCGCACAGGAACGTAAAGATCGTCGTGCACATGTACACCGCGTCCAGCCAGTTTATCCCGCCGAATCCGTTCGCTTTGTAACAGATAAACGCCAGCAACGGCAGGATCTGCATCGAGATCCACGGGTAGATCTCCCGCCAGATGAACAGGTGAAACAACCCTAACCGTTGGAAGGCGGACAGATTCCGGCAAGCCATGGCGGAGAAGAAATGGCGCATGGACACCTGGAACCACCCTTGCGCCCACCGCAATCTCTGGTTCCAGATCTGCCGCAGCGTCGTCGTCGCGAGCTCGGAAGACATCAATCCTGGATCGGATTTGATCCTCCCGCCCGCGAGAAGCACGCGGATAGACGAGTCTATGTCTTCGGTGAGCATAGACCCATCCATTCCGATTTGCGCTAGCAACCCTGATCGCCAGAACCCGTTTGATCCGCCGAAGAATCCGAACCCGTGTATTATCTCCGATCCCGGATGACCGACGGCGTAGATCGTCTCGAATTCCACGGCGACCGCCTGCGCGACCCAGTTATCCTCCCCGTTGCGCACGAGGCAGTGTCCTTGCACGATGTCGTAGCCGTGGCTGAGCCAGCGCCACGCGCGCATGAAGGAATCCGGGTTCGGGCAATGGTCCGCGTCGAACACGCCGACGAACTCGCCGCGGATGAGCTTCGTCGCCGCGTTCACGTTCTCGGCCTTGGAGCGCGAGTGCACGACGCGGTACGCCAGGAAGCGGTCCGGGCGTTGTCGCGCCATTTCCGCGAGAATGGTCTCCATCTCGGGCATGTCGCGCGGCGTGTTGTACGCCAGGATGACCTTCGGGGGAGGCGGAGGGCGTGGGGAGGGGAAGGGAAGGGGGAAGGGGTGGGGAAGGGGAGGGGGAAGGGGTGGGGGACTGGGAAGGGGAAGAAGAGGAGGACGGAGAGTAGCCTCCATCTCGGGCATGTCGCGCGGCTTGTTGTACGCCAGGATGACCTTCGGGGGACGGGGGAAGGGGAAAGAGGAGGGGGAGGGGGAGGGGGAGGGGGCGGAAGCGGGGAGTGTGGGAGTAGGACAGAGAGTGGTTCGATTTCGGACATGTCGCGCGGCGTGGTGCGCGTCCTAATGACCTCGGGGGAACTGGAGGGGGGAACGAGGAGAGGGGGAAGGGGAGAGGGAGGGGGAGCGAGATAGGGAGGGGGTGAAGAGAGGAATAGGAGATTGCTAGGAGTCTGGGAGAAGGGAAAGAAAGAAGTAATGGGAAATTGCTAGGTGGTTCGATTTCAGGCATGTCGCTGGCTGCTCAGCGTGTCGTGTATAGAGAGGGTATTTTTGAGAAGTCTCAAAAATACCCTCTCTACACGTGGCTAGGTGGTTCGATTTCAGGCATGTCGCTGGCTGCTCAGCATGTCGTGCACCAGGCTGACCTTCTGAAGGAGGGGGCGGGGGAGGCGGAGGGGCAGAGGGAAGGGGAAGGGGAAGGGGAAGGGGGGCGGAAAGGGCGTTAATGTGGTAAGGGTGGGAAGGTGAATAAGGAGTGTGGGGGTAGGGACAGAGAGTGGCTTCTTCACGGTAATGTCACCCTAACCCCCATCCTCAGCGTTTGTGCACCAGAATGATTTTGCGGAGGGTGGGGGTTAGGGTGGAAAGAAGGTGAGAATTGGGAGGGTGTGAGAATGGGGAGGAGAATGAGAATGGGGATGGGTGTGGAAACGGGGACGAATATGGGAATGGGGAGTGAGGATGCGAGGGGGGTGGGGATGGTCAGGGATGTGGAAAACTGAAGAAGCGTGGATATGGGGAGATGTGTGTGAATGGGGCGGAGGTTGTTTCTATCGTTGCCATGTCGTGTCGTGTTGTACCCAGGAATACCTGGGCAAGGAGGGAAGGTAGAAGAGGTGAGAATGGTGGCTGTGGGAATGGAGAGATGACTTTTGTGTCGACTCAAAAGTCACCTCGATACCTGGGCAAGGAAGGATGGTAGACGAGGTGAAAATGGTGGCTATTGGAACGGAGAGGAGCGTGGAAGGGGAGTGTGCAAGGGGGACAAGCTGTAGAAATGGGAGGTGTGGCACCGATTACGGTGCGTTGTAAGACCAGCAAAGGACCTCGGAGGAAGCCTTGCGTTGGAGCAACTGGAAAACGGCAAGGGCGTGGGTGAGAAATGAGCGTGGAGTTTGGAGAGTTGAGGTTTGAGAGGGAGTAAGAAGTATGTCGGGAGAGGGGGCTGTTTCGGTGCCATGGAGGGGCGGAGCTGAATAAAGGGGTGTTTGAAGAGGGAGGAGAAAGGACTTTCTTTACAACAACACGTCAAGCTCTATCCGAGCAAGACGTGTGGTACCGGTATGCCTTAATGTAGATGCATATTTGAAACTCAAATCAGTGCTAGTGATGCTTGCTGCGGGTGGAGATGTGCTATCAGCGGGTCATCGTCCAAGCATTGGCTTCACAAGTACGAAAACGGCGCTCCCTTTTCCCTTCCCCTCGTTTTCCCCCGAAAAGGATGGTTCCTAAATTCTATCCTCTCTCGGGACAAGAGTGCTGTTTAAGATGTGTGTTTTCCTTCTGGAAAAGGATGGGGCATTCGAGCGACACAAAGTGAGACGAAGAGACTGAACTTTGCGAACACGTGTGCAGAAGCTAGCAGTCAGTGCAAATATAGCCGAACTTACTCACTAAATAGGCGGAGAGAAGGGGCGAAAGGAAAAGGGGGGGTTCAACCGTCTCAGTTAGTAGTAATCTGGAATAAGAAATGACGTTCCGAACGTCAATAGTCAGCCTCATTTCCGGCTCTGCTATTTGCTCCTCCCTCCCAATGATACAGTAATGATATGGCAACTTACTGCGCTTGGCAAAGGCTGCCACGTGGCTCACCTGCAATGGTCCTGGATACTCGATCTGAAGAAAAGCCTCGATAGTCTCCAGAATCGTGTCCGCCTCGTTGGGCAAATACGCCGCGATAATGGCCGACGCGGGCGGGTACGGCGCGGCGGGCTCGTCGGGCGGGTCTTTCGCGAGAAAGAGCGCGAGAAAGCACTCGATGTACACGATGGTGGCCGTGAGAACGAGCATGACGACGACCGCGATGTAGCAGTACGGCGCGATGTCGATGCCGAGACCCGCGTCGCACACGAGGTAGAATCCGAACGGCATGAGCAGGCCGACGACGAACGTGAGCACGATCTGCAGCGGCGTGCGAAGCTTGTTGATGAACGTCTGTTTCTTCGTCGGCCTCGCGCCGCCCATGATAGTGTGAGATGTAGTACGAAGACTACCACTATTACTACTCACGGTTCCGTGCTAATTGGATAGCCCGTCCCCTGAGTGCAGCTGTTACTAGTATTACGAGTGGTAGTGGTAGTTCTGGTGCTAATAAGTGGCGTGGAATGCGGGCAGCAACAGCACATGAGGGCTGTGGGGATCGCTCGATCCGAGCCCGGGAGCACGCTAATATCACAACTAGGGGTAATTGATCGCCTGGCGTTTCCTTTCGAGCTAGTACAAGAGGCGACCTGCTTTCCATTGCGAAGTCGTGGGGATAAATACTTGTTTCCGTCCAATCCTCATCCTCCGAAACTTTCCTCGACTTGTAAACTGCTACTTGTTGCTGGAAAGAGCAAATCCAGCCGTCGCTAAAAATATGGTTAATTTCACGAATAAGCAGTTATCCACAGTAGCTACTAAAAACCCAGCACTTGATGGCGTCCTTTGGCGGAAGACAAGGAGACCGGAAACAGCTTAGCTTGAACGTTATTAAATTGGCGAACGCGAGACGGAAGAAAGAGCTTAGTTCAACTCTGGGGCGCGAGAACAATCAAGCTTGATGGCGGTGGTAGGGTGTTGGAGTTGGGGCGTCTGTGAATCTGTGTGTGCTTGCTTGGTTGGGTAGGAATCCGGAACTAGGGGTGGGGCAGGATAGTTCGTCGTGTGCGAGTTGGAGAATAGGGGCTGGAAGGAATCTGGATGGAGCTTTGCTATCGCGATCGGAAATCGTGTCGCATGTGGGAAACAGAGGGTGGTGACGGGGGAGAGGGTGTCTGGGGGAGCGCGCGCGACTCGAAACGAAGCATGGACTCCATTGAAGAGAGAATGGAGATGAGAGAGTGCAGATGCAGAGGGGTTGACGAGTCACGTGATCGCTAGCATGAGATCCGCGAATCGTACGGCACTCTCTAGCACAAATCGTACGGCTTAATCGTACGCCATTGTTTCTTGTCCCTCTTCCCTCCCCCCTCCAGAAAGTTTCCAAGGCCTTCAATATCCGCCGTTGGATCCCACACCCAGATGTCCTCGCTTGGTTTGAACGGTAGATGCATTGTCTGTCAGACTGGATTGCTCGAATGAATCGTTGAAATGAACTCCAATGTGTTACCTTCCTGTACAACCAGTGGCACAATGTGGCCGAGACGTAATGACACAATCTTCATAGTGCCCCGCAACTTCTCGAGTGTGGCAAGGGCTCGACGAGCCGCTTCAGGTCAACATCAGCCGAGCCACGCCGCTATTTGGCATGTGGAGCCCTGCTGGCATTGGCCGTGGCCCATGAGCACAATTGGGTTGTGACATAGCACGGCGGCGTGTTACAACAGCTGCAAAAACTAGTTTGAATCGTTCCAGCAAACCCATAACGTTATGTGTAAGGAAAATTCCTTTTCCTTCGCATCCCTCCTCAACGTGTATATCACTGTAGCACCACAGTCAGCACCATTACCACTCGCAACCCTCGCATCGACAATCCGCCCGCCACCTTCGCACGCCGCACCCGACCTCACGGCTCGGCGGGTAACCCGCGCTCCGGGCCTCCGCTTCGACACTCTTCCCAACCTCAGTCCTAGACCCGTCGCGCGACAACCACAGTCCATTACCGTTACCACTGTAGTTTCGCTATATATTATTCGCTCATGCCTTCGCTCATTGTACTCTTGCTTCGATAGTGCAGTTCTCGTTCGTTCACTCAATTGCACTCGTAACACTTGGTATTCAGAGCCTACGATCTCTTCTCGGACCGCACCCACACCTTCGCTTCCCCACTATCTCAATTTTTGGGGGGGGTAGACGTCTCTCAGCGACACAGCACCGCTGCTCGTAGTGCTCTCTCGTAAGCACGCACGGCCACGACCGAGGCTCTCGCTGAGCTCGCCTGACACCCCCGCCATGGCCGAATTCACACTCGCCACATTGACGCAGAAGCAGCTCGACCGTCTGGTGCGCCAACTTGAAGATTCGGCGCTCGAAATTGCGACGCTCACGGCGGAACGTGACTCCGCGCGTCAGCAATCAATGATGAACACTCCAGCGCCACCACACGCACCGACAAATGCATCTACACAATCGGACGAGCCGATCGTCATCTCGTCCGGCACACCAACACAAAACAACAGCGTGGGACAGCGCTCAGGCGCAGCCAGCGATGGCGCCGCCCAGCCGATGCCTGGCATGGGAGGAAATAGGGTTGCACCAAGCCCGCGGGAGCCTCGTGAAGCCCGTCGGCACGTGGAGTTCGCGGCGACAAGTGGCGAACAGGCCATTATGGCACCAATGCCACTCAAGCCGCAACGCCCGCCCTGCTTCGACCCGAGCCAGCGTGGAGGTCCGACGGTTCAATCGTGGGTCTTCACGATGAATGTCTTATTCGACGCGAATTACGTCGAGTTGGACGCAGCGAAGATTGGGTATGCCGTTTCGCTGCTAAGGGGCCCCGCCATGGACTGGTGGCGAGTCATCGTGACGTCGTCACGCGTCTACGAGCCACCGTCGCAAGAGGAAGGGCCCACGGGCCCAGCTGTCACCTGGAGTTCATTCTGCGAGACCGCCCAATACAGCACGTGGGATGCGTGGTGCGCAGGGCTTCGGGCACGCATCGAGCCGATCGCGACTTCTATTTCGGCGCGTCAGAGATTGCGCACTTGGCGGCAGCTCGGATCGGTTCAAGACTATACGAGTGGTTTTCTCGCATTATGCGAGCAAGTCGGCTACATGCACGAAGCGGAGCGGGTGGACCGTTACGTTGGAGGGTTGAAGCCGGACATCTCGCACGAAATCATGCTACGCGGGCTCTCGAACTTCAACGAGATTCTCGCGCTCGCCGAGAAAATCGACATTTTACGCCGTCCAAGAATGGGGTCCTACTATGGACATCGTCCTCGGGGACCGATCGAGCACGCCACTGTACACGCTGTTGCGACGAATGCAGCTGCCGCGCCGTTTAAGGGGCGCTGCTTTGCTTGCAACAGGCTGGGCCATCGTAAGAGCGAATGCCCAGAGGAGCTAAGGCGCCGCGGAGTAGAGCAGGGGAGGGAGTCTCCAAGGCAGGGAAACTCCATGTCAGTAGAGCTACACTGTGAGATCCCGACCATTGGGATAAAAGGGCTTGTTTCAGTAGCGGGTCAGTGCGCCCATAACCCCCCAGGCAAACGCGCCTGTAACCCCCCCTAGGATCGATCGGGGATCTCACAGTGTAGCTCTACTGACACCCCCCCACACTGGGAGGCCCAGGACTGAGCACCGTGGCAACGGCCAACATGTGCATACACCGGGATTCGAACCCGAGACCGCTCTGAGACCATGTCAGAATCCCAACCACTAGACCATTGGGATAAAAGGGCTTGTTTCAGTAGCGGGTCAGTGCGCCCATAACCCCCCAGGCAAACGCGCCTGTAACCCCCCCTAGGATCGATCGGGGATCTCACAGTGTAGCTCTACTGACACTCCAGCAGTCAGTAGGAATCGGGCCAACTACTGACGAGACTGCCTGCTCACCCAACCCCACCGACCCTCACCGAGTCATAGTACCGATTCATGCTATCGATCGGACTCGGACGAATAAGGAGGGTACAGCGACAGATTGCCCAGTACTGATCCACGGGAAAATACAGGAAGCAGCAGTGAAGATTTTTATCGACGGAGGAGCAAGCCACAGTTTAGTTAATACCGCAACCGCACGAAAACTGCAGCTGATACTTAGCCGTTGCTTACCGGAGATAGATGCACGCTTAGTCGACGGCACGCCACTGGCCATACGAGAAAAGGTAGAGAGAGTCAAAGTCTGCTGCGGGGGAAATTCGGGTTTACACAGGAAATGCTCGCAACGACACTTGATGGGCACGTTATTTTACTGGGACGTGATTGGCTGCGACTGTATTGTCAGAATGTTATGTTTGTCTAGCCTGCAGTGGGGTACTCAATAGTGAGTACAGCCCAATTTAGGGTTTGCTATATGTATTCAACTGCTTGCTAGTGAAAGCCCTCTCTTCCATTCATTCCTCATTTCCTCACAGGTATAACCCGCAAGTTGACAGGACGACGGGTAGCTGCACCGTGCGAAGTAATGGTAACTGGGTCGAGCTACCTCGCTGGTAGTCGCCCGAGTCTTCAACGGTACACGTCAACGCCATCACAATGAAACGGGTTGTCGCTGCTGGAGCTGACGTGTACGCAGTAGACATCGCAGTAGTAGAGGAAGCAGAGCAGCCGAGTGATTTCAACAAACTGTTGGCAGCCGTACCGCCCGAAATATAGGAACTGTTGAAACGATACCCCGGGATTTTCCCCGACGACTTACCGGAAGGACTGCCGCCTCAACGAGCACATGACCACCGAATCGAATTAGAAGCGGGGGCACAGCCAACCGTACGGCACCAGTTCAAACTAACACAGCCCGAGCTCGACGAACCAAGGAAGCAGTTAGATTACTTGTTAGAGAAAAAATTCATCCGACCGAGCTCGTCACCATTCGCCGCACCAATATTGTTCACGTCGAAAAAAGACGCGGGTTTTCGCCTGCAGCTGGGGTCTGGGTCGACGACCTGCAGCTGTTTTTACAGTGCGATAAGGCGGACGGTCTTTCTCTCTTTGACCTCACCTCTGGCGCCTCTCCTGCCCCTGCTACTGACGCTGACCCCACTGTTCGCTCTTAGTGGGCCACCCGCGATGCTGCTGCAGGTCTTGCTGTGTGTCGCCACCTGCCTACCACTGAGCGCGCGCACTTTAGTCAGTACAAGAGTGCTCAGACCTTGTACGACGCTGTAGTTGCGCGCTACTCTTCTCCTGCCACTATTGCACTGAGCCGCCTCATGCTATCGTACCTCTTTCCTGACCTTGGCACGAACTACTAGAGGTGATCTTAGTTTTACTTAGTTCCTTAGTGTTTGCACATTCGCGGAAGAATTTGGCAAGAGTTTTCACTAGCAAAGTTGGAATTCCAGATAATCCAAGCAGCAATCACAACAATGACTACATCAGACACC